GACGCTCGCCCTCCCACTGCCTCCCCCACACATGGGCGGGAGGCACAGTGTGGGAGCGTCGTAGAGGCAGTACCCAGTGCCCTCCTGCACTCTCCGGTGTCACAACTCATACAATATCCATTTTTCTGCCGTATATTACTGTGCTATCTTCCGCGTCGTATAACACGACACCAGGAGGAGTCGTTGCAGACACTAGTGATCTCCTCCTGCGATGTTGAGGTCCACATCTGCACGGCGACTATTATTCCGGAATTTCAAAATGTTGTGTTCAATATTCCAGAAGGTGTGTGTGTGTGTGTGTGTGTGTGTGTGTGTGTGTTGCAAGACCTGCCCCTGTTTGGTTCACACTGCCACATATAGTCCCTAAGGGTTTCTCTGTTGTCTTTTTAGTTACGGTAGATTGACCTGACAATGTCACTCACTGTGTTAGTGATATTGTACTTTCATGTGGATGTTTTTTTTCGGAGTTCATTGTCCCTAAGCTTTCACCAGTAACATTTGCTTGTGTTCGCTAACCTCAGCTTTCTCCCCATAGCTTTTACCTCCTTAAGATTACACAACAGATTGTGAAATTCCTTCTCAGTCTGTATAATATTTAGTTCAACCTGCTTGTTCTTATTCTCTCTCTCTCTCTCCTTACACTATCGCTTAGGTCCTGTAAGACGGTGTAAGAGAGGATGGTGTAGGCCGGCCACTCTTGTTGATTGTTGAGTGTCGGGCTGGGTGGAGTCCCGATTGTACCACACACACACACCCATACTCGTTAAGAAGCCCTCGCCCCGCTGTCCACTGTGTGTGTGTGTGTGCTGGGAGAGGAGTGGAAACGCGCCAGAACACGAGGTATATACACCGTATACTCTCACCAATGACCGCACAGTACCTCCGCCTTTCTACCGAGCCTAGGCCAGAGTGATCAGATGTCATGTTTGTTGGACAACACGTGATATCGTTCACTTGTGTGCTACATGGTAAGAGGAGAGGCGTCCTTGAATATGGAGGGGCGAGTGAGCCTGACACAGATGGCATCGCACCAATAATATATCACGCGCCTGTCACCTCCCTCGACGTGTGATTAATTAGCTTGCTTCACCTGCCCGTATCGCGGTCACTGGTCGCCTGACTCTCACAGGACTGGCTGATAGAAGTAAACATGACCTTGGCGGAAGATATGAGTAGGTCCGGCAAAATATACAGTCATTGTCTGTGGGTTTGTGAATTCCTCGCTATCATCCACTTAAACTGTTCTTAAGTAGTCCAAGTACAATACGCAAGGCCTCAAATTCATAAATGGGGCAAGGGCAAAAAATGTAGTTGTTACTGTGCAGACAGCATTAGTAGTGAAAACACCTACAGTACTGTGGATATGGCTAGTACTGAAGATATAACTAGTTCTGAAGGTATTACTAGTAGTGAAGACATTACCAGTAGTCAGGGTATTATTATTAGTGAAGCTGCTAATAATAGTGAAGATATTACTAGTGGTGAAGGTATATCTAGTACTGAAGATAATTACTAGTAGTGAAGGCATTACTAGTAGTGAAAACATTACTAGTACAGTAGTGAAGACATTACTAGTAGCTTAGCTGTTAGTAGTTGTGAAGACATTACTTGTAGTGAAAATATTACTGCTAGTGTAAACATTATTAATATTTATTACGGGTAGTGTGAACAAACACACACACACACACACACACACACACACACACACACATATACATATACATATATATATAATATATATATATATATATATATATATATATATATATATATATATATATATATATATATATATATATATATATATATATATTAGGGACGCACTTGCTCCTTTGCTTAATTAATTGTTGGTGATTTTAGAACTCGTGGGTGAAGTTTTCCACATAACCCCTTATATGATTTTGCTATGGTTTGTGTCGACTGCAACGCTTCTTCTTGAAGGAGCTTCCTGGTGCGGTGGCAGGTCCCAAGTGAGAGGCAGGGCCCAGACAGGGGGCGACGCCGAGGCTCTTGCTCCAGTGTTTATATATATTGGCGGTAGTCAGTTCAGTTAAGGGATGGCTACTGATAACAAATGTTGCCATCTCTCCTCATCTTTATGTTTCAGTCTTTGTACCTCAAGTTATAATTTTATTAATACTTAAATTAAAACAGTTTATTTTGCCAGAAAAACACAGATACAGAGTCGATAATAATAATAATAATATTAACATGGTTGAGCCAGTTAAGAGCCTAAGCTCTCTTGAAGGCACCTTATAATTATATAATGTACATTTATCTCAAAGAAGTATTATGTAACATGTCGCGTCATCTGGAACAGTACACGTAACAAGGTGTTGATATATATATATATATATATATATATATATATATATATATATATATATATATATATATATATATATATATATATAAAGATGATAATGGAAGGAAACAGTACAACATGTGTTGTATTAAGGTGGAACAAGAGGAGAGAGCTCTCAGTATCATGTCTAGTCGGGAACTATAATTATTGCAAATGGTAGTTTGCTGATCTGACTTTCTGCTTCATTTACACACAATTGCAGGGTCTCAGTTGTTTCTCTTACTATTGACAATACAACATACATAAATTGTTTATCACCTTTTGATTGTTTCATTTTTGTATTTCTTTGTGGTTCTTTTATTATTATTATTATTATTATTATTATTATTATTATTATTATTATTATTATTATTATTATTATTATTATTACTACTATTACTATTACTATTACTATTATTACATTTTTGCCCCAGGCCCTGATGTGGGTCAGTGACCTGTGCCCGGGTGGGCTAATCCCCGTAAAAGAAAAAAAATAATAATAAAATTTAATTCACACTTTATCATCTACCATCATCCCATGATGGTAGTCATCATGGTGAATTCAACCATAGAGCCCCAGTTACCATTTCCTAAGATCCTCTTTAAGAATGCTAGAACTAGGTCACTAAATTTAGGGGAAAAATATATTCGTAAAATATATTTACTGGCTGTAAAATAAGACCATGTACAAGCAGTGACGATGTTGTGGTGTTCGATCAAGGTCGCGTGATGTAAACAAAGGTGGCGTGTAGGCTGCGCCCGACAGGTGAGGACACCAGCCTCCGCCATCACAACACCGCCAGTGACCAAATAGTTTTGATGTAAATATTATTCGCACAATTTTTGTCTCGGCTTACTTTTGCGGATGGCGGATATACTGTGAGGTATCCTGGTGTGGGACTTAAAAGATACTTAAAACCTTCACATAATTTAAAGTAAATGCTGTAAATCAGAGTTTGTGGCATTCTTTAGATATCTTGTGAAAGTAAACATGTAAGTGATTTATCTTTAAGCATGTCTGCCTAGATAACATATTATTTCTCAGTCAATCTACATTTACCCTGATGGTATTATAAAAACCTTTTAATAAACACGCAGTGGCTTTATAATAATAAAAAAGAATAAATAAAAAACTATATCTCAAATCTCATGCTCAAGGTCCAGACGACACAGAGGCGCGTCACTGGGGAGGAGTAAGTTTGTTAGAATTCATAAGTGTTGGCAAACATTGAATATTTTGGCGTCACTGGATCACACCCATGGATACTCTCACGTCGTCTTTGTAGTTGCAGGAGACGTGTGGTTATTATATATCCTAAAGTTAAATCTACACAAGTAAATGTAGCGTACTTTCTCACCACAACTGCGGGGAGCCATAAGGTGAACATTTAGAGAACCGCGGTGTTCTGTCAGTGATGAACGACGTTATAAACAGAGACGAGTCAGTCTGTCTTGTGTTGTAACCTTTATACATTTAAAATTAGACGTAAGCCAAGTGAAGGTTAACTCTCCCACGCTTCTCATGACCTGCTGCTTTGACTACCTCCTCCAACACTCACCACCTGCTGCTGACTACCTCCTCAGCACTCACCACCTGCTGCTGACTACCTCCTCAGCACTCATCACCTGTTACTGACTACCTCCTCAGCTTACTCATCACCTGCTACTGACTACCTCCTCCAACACTCATCACCTGCTACTGACTACCTCCCTCAACACTCCTCACCTGCTGCTGACTACCTCCTCAACACTCATCACCTACTATGACTACCTCCTCAGCACTCATCACCTGCTACTGACTACCTCCTCAACACTCATCACCTGCTGCGGCTACCTCCTCAACACTCATCACCTGCTACTGACTACCTCCTCAACACCTCATCACCTGCTGCTGACTACCTCCTCAACACTCCATCACCTGCTACTGACTACTCCTCCAACACTCATCACCTGTTACTGACTACCTCCTCAACACTCATCACCTGCTACTGACTACCTCCTCCAACACTCATCACCTGCTACTGACTGCCTCCTCAACACTCTCACCTGCTTGCCTGACTACCTCCTCAACATATCACTACTACTGACTACCTCCTCAACACTCATCACCTGCTACTGACTACCTCTCCTCAACACTCATCACCTGCTACTGACCTCCTCAGCACTCATCACCTGCCACAGACTATCTCAACACTCATCACCTGCTACTGACTACCACCTCAGCACTCATCACCTGCTGTGACTACCTCCTCAGCACTCATCACCTGCTGCTGACTACCTCCTCAACACTCACATCACCTGCTACTGACGCATATAAACACTCATCACCTGCTATGACTACCTCCTCAACCCTCATCACCTGCTACTGACTGCCTCCTCCCAGCACTCATCACCTGCTACTGACTACCTCCTCAGCCTCATCACCTGCTACTGACTACCTCCTCAACACTCATCACCTGCTACTGACTACCTCCTTAATATCACCTGCTGCTGACTACCTCCTCAACACTCATCACCTGCTACTGACTACCTCATAGCACTCATCACCTGCTACTGACTACTGCTCCTCAAGCACTCATCACCTGCTACTGACTACCTCCTCAACACTCATCACCTGCTACTGACTACCTCCTCAACACTCATACTTGCCTACTGACTACCTCCTCAACACTCATCACCTGCTACTGACTACCTCCTCCTTTTCATCACTGCTACTGACTACCTCCTCAACACTCTGCCTGCTGCGACTACCTCCTCCAGCACTCATCACCTGCTGCTGACTACCTCCTCCAACACTCATCACTAACCTTTGACTACCTCCTCAACACTCATCACCTGCTACTGACTACCTCCTCAACACTCATCACCTGCTACTGACTACCTCCTCAACACTCATCACCTGCTGCTGACTACCTCCTCAACACTCATCACCTGCTACTGACTACCTCCTCCTTGCTCATCACCTGCCTTTGTGACTTCACCTCTCCTCAACACTCATCACCTGCTGCTGACTACCTCCTCAACACTCATCACCTGCTGCTGACTACCTCCTCAACACTCATCACCTGCTGCTGACTACCTCCTCAACACTCATCACCTGCTGCTGACTACCTCCTCAACACTCATCACCTGCTACTGACTACCTCCTCAACACTCATCACCTGCTACTGACTACCTCCTCAACACTCATCACCTGCTACTGACTACCTCCTCAACACTCATCACCTGCTACTGACTACCTCCTCAACACTCATCACCTGCTACTGACTACCTCCTCAACACTCATCACCTGCTACTGACTACCTCCCTCAACCTCATCACCTGCTGCTGACTACCTCCTCAACACTCATCACCTGCTACTGACTACCTCCTCAACACTCATCACCTGCTACTGACTACCTCCTCAACACTCATCACCTGCTACTGACTACCTCCTCAACACTCATCACCTGCTACTGACTACCTCCTCAACACTCATCACCTGCTGACTACCTCCTCAACACTCATCACCTGCTACTGACTACCTCCTCAACACTCATCACCTGCTACTGACACCTCCTCAACTCATCACCTGCTACTGACTACCTCCTCAACACTCATCACCTGCTGCTGACTACCTCCTCAACACTCATCACCTGCTGCTGACTACCTCCTCAACACTCATCACCTGCTACTGACTACCTCCTCAACACTCATCACCTGCTACTGACTACCTCCTCAGCACTCATCACCTGCTGCTGATACCTCCTCAACCTCATCACCTGCCAAGCCGCTGACCACCCCCAACACCCACTCCACTGCCACTGACTCTCACCCACTCCACACCTGCTGCCACCTCCCCACACTCCACTCACCTGCCACTGACTCACCTCCTCAACACCATCACCCGTCAAGACTACCTCCCTAACACCACCACCTGCTGCTGACTGACTCCTCAACACCTCCCATCACCTGCCACTGACTCACCTCCCTAACACTTACTCACCTGCTACTGACTTACCTCCCTAACACTCTGTATCACCCCTGCTGCTGACTTACCTCTTGCACTTACTCACCTGCTACTGATCACCTCCTCAACACTCATCACCTGCTGCTGACTACCTCAACACCATCACCTCCATACTGACTACACCTCAACACCATCACCTGCCACTGGATCACCCCAACACCCACCATCACCTGCCACTGACTACCTCCCCAACACTCATCACCTGCTACTGACCACCTCCCTCACACCTCATCACCTGCTGACTACCCTCACCAGACTCATCACCCGCCGCTGACTGTACCTCACATCTCATCACCTGCTGCTGATCACCTCCTCAACACTCATCACCTGCTGCTGACCACCTCCCTCAACACTCATCACCTGCTGCTGACTCACCTCCCAACACTCCACCACCTGCCACCACCTCACTCCCAACACCTTACTCCACCTGCTACTGACTTCACCTCCCTCAACACTCCATCACCTGCCATTGATCACCTCCCTCAACATCTACTCTTGCTACTGATCACCACCTCAACACTTCACTGCTGACTACTCCCTCACCACTCACCACCTGCCACTTGACTACCTCACACTCCATCACCTGCCACTTGACTACACCTCACCACCATCACCCACACTGACTACCTCCCTCAACACCCATCACCCATACTGACTTTCACCTCCTCAATGACTCCATCACCCTGGTTGCTGATCACCCTCACCACTCCACATCAATTGCCACTGACGCCACCTCCTTCAACACTCCATCACCCGCTACTGATCAACACCCCACCACACCACTACCTTGCTACTGATCACCTCAATGACTCATCACCCACAAGCTGATCAATTCTCACGTTCACTCATCACCTGCTACCACTGCAACACTCATCACCTGCTGCTGACTACCTCCTCAACACTCATCACCTGCTACTGACTACCTCCTCAACACTCATCACCTGCTGCTGACTACCTCCTCAACACTCATCACCTGCTACTGACTACCTCCTCAACACTCATCACCTGCTACTGACTACCTCCTCAACACTCATCACCTGCTGCTGACTACACCCTCGCCACAATATATCTCACGGAGACGAATGAGTTCAACTTGGCGTTTAATATGGAGTCAATATGATAAGAGTAGCAGTGAGGCAGAATTAGTTAAACTCCGCTACTCTTAGCCTTGTGTGTACCAGTGTGTGTGATATCGTATCTCTCACTCCCAACTCCTCTATTAATGTTGGTTCTTCTCACTTGATCGTTACTATGTTAATATAAAGGTTATTTTGTTTACTTTCAGCTGACTATGAGTTTATTTTATTGAGTAACACACATGTCAAAGCGCAGCTCATTCTTGGGGATCGGAAAACAGTACAATGCAAGACTCATTTACACCTGTATTTTACTCCTAATACTATACCTGTCATGGCCAGTATTGATGACATTATAGCTGCTCATTTAATCTCAAATCTTCCGGAAAAAAACGAAATCATTTGTATTTTTGTTCTGGCAGCAGAACTGTCGGTGAGGAATGTTGGTGGAGTTGAGCAAGTTGGTGGCGGGTTGGTCAGGGCAGTCAACAGTGACGGAAACTTAAATACGGTATGTCCAGGTTTATTTAGCTGATAATAACGTGTTGTGTCGGAACGTTTCCTTTCCCTTGATCAGTTGCAAAATATTGGAATAAAAGTGTATAGATAAAAGTTTAAGCAAAATAACTATTGAGGGACGGAGGTATAGCCTAATTATATAAGATATTTGGTGAGAGTCGAAACGCTCCCTTGTAAAGCAAATGTACGCGAGGATGTGTTGATGTGCTGGTCATGGTGGGCTGGTCGACCTCCTCTGAAGGTCACAGTCCTGCTATGTTCTGGCCTGTGTCGTACCACACTGTGTCCTGTCCCACCGTGTCCTGTAGTGTGTCCTGCCCCGCCGTTCCCTGTCCTACTGTGTCTTGGCCTACTGTGCTCTGACCAGTTCAGAGTGAGGTAGGTGGGTGTGAGGTAGGCGGGGTGAGGACCGTTTTGCTGCCTCTCTCATCCCCCACGACCTCCTCACTCTGTCAAGTCCCGACCCGGTTGTTTTCTCGTAAATAAACTCACTGTCTCCTCAGCCTCCTACCAGTGAGCTCCGAGGCCACACCATGAACTTGACTTGCCTCCGCACGTAAATATGTCTTCGTTGGTGAACATAAAAACTTAAGAACATAAGAATGGAGGAAACTGCAGCGGGCCTATTGGCTCATACGAAGCAGTCCTTTTATACCCAACCCCTATTGCTCATATATCCATCCAACCTATGTTTGAAGCTATCCAGGCTATGCGAGTTAATGATGATGATTGGTAACTTGTTCCACTCGTCCACTGTATTTCCAAACCAAGGTTTACCTAATCCGCGCCTAAATCTAAATTTGTCTAATTTAAAACCATTGTTACCAGTTCGCTCCTGGTTGGATAGCTTGAGTATCTTTATGTCCCCTTTCTTTAGCACTGACTTCCATTTATACACCTCTATCATATCGCCCCTCACTCTACGTCTCTCGAGGTAGTGCAAATTAAGATGCTTTAATCTGTCTCTGTACTCGAGGTTCCTAATGCCCGGGGGTAGTCTTGTCATTCTCCTCTGAGCTAACTGATAACGACGGAAAAATGAGCAATAATCTGAATAAATATTCTTCAACAGTTTTCACCACCGAAAATTTGAATTTAATACCCGAGGCACCGACTATATGCACAGATAGTGAAGAAATAGATTAAACGAGATCGTAGTGACTGGTAACGACGTTAGTAAGTAAGCAAATAGACAAGTAAGTTGCCAGGTCCTGATGAGATATTTCCCGGAGTATTAAAGGAATGTAAGGAGTAGCTTAGTATGCCCTTAGCAAAATCGTTTAACATGTCCTTAAAAACGGGTGTAGTACCAGAATCCTGGAGGATAGCGATTGTAATACCTATTTTCAAGAAGGGAGATAGATCACTATCCTTTAACTACCGTCTAATCAGCTTAACATCAATTGCAGGCAAATTACTGGAAGCAATAATTTCAAACTCTATTCGAAATCACCTGGAGAAGCACAAGTTGATCGATGATTCCCAACATGGCTTCACAAGCGGGCGTTCATGCCTAACTAATGTATTAACATTCTTTTCAGCTGTTTTCGAATCAGTGGACGAGGGGCACGACTATGATGTGGTATATCCTGACTTTAGTAAAGCCTTCGACAGAGTCCTCGACGAAAGACTAATAAGAAAAGTGGAGGCTCATGGCATTGGAGGAGATATACTAAAATGGATGAGTGCGTGGTTACAGGACAGAAAACAGCGAGTGAGCATTAACGGCACTAAATCTGATTAGGGTAACGTCACAAGTGGAGTACCCTAAAGCTCAGTACTTGGACCATTATTATTTATTATATACATAAACAACATAAGATATCGGCGTAGACAGCAACAAAAGTAAATTTATTGATGACACTAAAATTGGGCGTGTAGTTAAATCTAGCGAGGACTCTGCAAAACTACATGAAGATGTAAAAAGAAAATTCGAATGGTCTGAAAAATGGCAGATGAAATTAAATGTGGACAAATGTAAAGTAGTTAGTCTAGGAGATGTAAACAGAGAAACCAGATATCAGGTGAACAATGATGTTACAGAGAAATCTGAATGTGAGAAAGGTTTAGGAGTAATGATAAGTATGAATCTTAAGCCAAGTAAACAATGTGTATTTGCTCGAAACAAGGCTAATAAAGTACTTGGGTTCATACAAAGGAGTGTTAGTTACAAAACTAGAGAGGTCAATCTGAAACTATATCTTGCGCTTGTGAGACCTCACTTGGATTACGCAGTTCAATTCTGGTCACCGTATTACAGGATGGATATAGAATCTCTAGATAGAATTCAGAGGAGAATGACAAGACTAATCCCGGGCATTAGGAACGTCGAGTACAGAGACAGGTTAAAGCATCTTAATTTGCACTCCCTCGAGAGACGTAGAGTAAGGGGAGATATGATAGAGGTGTATAAATGGAAGTCAGGGCTAAACAAATTGGACATAACAAAGTACTGTAACTCAAACTATCCAACCAGGAGTGAAATCGTAACAATGGTTTTAAATTACACAAATTTAGATTTAGGAGCGAAATAGGTAAACTTTGTTTGGAAATAGAGTAGTGGACGAGTGGAACAAGTTGCTAAACATTATGATTGACTCGAATACGATGGATACCTTCAAACATAGGTTGGTTGGATATATGAGCAATAGGGGTTGGGTGTAAATGGAACTGCCCAGTATGGGTCTGCAGGAACTCACAAATGGGTGTAGCCTCAACGTATTGTGTCACGGCGTATCAACCTGGTGATGCTCTGCTTATTGTTGACTTATCATTTACTGTCGGGTTCCTCGGATCTCCGCACGTCCATCACATCTCCACCTCTACCTCTGATAGATCATTCAGTAAGAGGTCCCTTGGCGAAAGGTGAGCCCGCCTTTTACTGTGCCTATCAAGTTGTTCCCTCTATGCATCTATCATTCTTAACTCCTTTCGTATTCCTGCGGATATGATTATGTACCTAGAAGCCGGTGTACCATTAATACTCCTCCTCGTAGCCACTGTGAGCAAGTGACGAATTTTCCGCATCACCAAGACACTTCAGCTACTTTCTATCATCCAAACAACATCTGTGAAAAATATGAACGAATTCCATAAGTAATTTCTACCGCTAA